AATGTATGGGATGCAGCAAAAGCAGTAATAAGAGGAAAATATATAGCAATAGAAGCTCACATCAAAAAACAAGAAAGAACTCAAAGAAACAACCTAATCTCGAAGCTCAAAGATCTAGAAAAAGAACAACAAAAAAACCCCAGAACCAGTAGAAGAAAAGAAATAATAAAAACCAAAGCAGAAATAAATGAAATTGAAACTAAAAAAACAATCCAAAAGATCAATGAAACCAAGAGCTGGTTCTTTGAAAAAATAAATAAAATAGACAAACCCCTAGCCAGGCTCACAAAGGAAAAAAGGGAGAAAGCACAAATACACAGAATCATAAATGAAAGAGGAGAAATCACAACGGACACAGCAGAAATCAAAAGAATAATCAGTAACTACTATGAACAGTTATATGGAAACAAGTTCAACAATCTAGAGGAGATGGACAAATTCCTACAACTCTACAATCACCCAAAGCTAGATAAAGAAGAAATAGAACACCTAAACAGACCAATTACAAGCAGCGAAATTGAAATGGTAATTAAAAACCTCCCCAAAAACAAAAGCCCAGGACCTGATGGATTTACAAATGAATTCTACCAAACATTCAGAGACGAATTAGTGCCTATCCTTCACAAACTCTTCCAAAAAATTGAGAAGGAAGGGACAATACCAAACACGTTCTATGAAGCCAATATTACACTAATACCAAAACCGAATAAGGACAACACAAAAAAGGAAAACTATAGGCCAATCTCCCTAATGAACACTGAAGCAAAAATCCTCAATAAAATTTTAGCTATCAGAATCCAACAATGTATCCATAAGATAATTCACCACGACCAAGTTGGATTCATTCCAGGGGCACAAGGATGGTTTAACATCCGAAAATCAATCAACGTTATCCAACACATCAACAAAAAGAAATATAAAAACCATATGATAATATCAATAGATGCTGAGAAAGCTTTCGACAAAGTGCAACACCCATTCATGATAAAAGCCCTTGAAATTCTTGGGATACAAGGAACATACCTCAACATCATAAAGGCCATCTATGACAAGCCAACAGCCAGTATCATTCTCAATGGTGAAAAGCTGAAAGCAATTCCATTAAGATCTGGAACAAGACAAGGATGTCCACTCTCACCACTGCTTTTCAATATAATGCTGGAAGTCCTAGCCAGAGCAATAAGACAAGAGAAAGACATCCAAGGAATCCAAATAGGAAAAGAAGAAGTCAAACTATCACTATTTGCAGATGATATGATAATATACATAGAGAACCCCAAAATCTCCACAGAAAAACTAATTCAACTCATCAATCAATTCAGTAAAGTGGCAGGATACAAAATCAACACGCAAAAGTCAGTAGCCTTCCTATACACAAACAATAAATCTGAAGAAGAAGAAATCAAAAAAACCACCCCTTTTATTATTGAAACAAAAAAAATCAAATATTTGGGAATAAATCTAACAAAAGAGGTAAAGGACCTATGCAAAGAAAACTATAAAACACTGTTAAAAGAAATAGAAGAAGACACAAAGAAATGGAAAGACATCCCCTGCTCATGGATTGGAAGAATAAACATTATTAAAATGGCCATCCTACCAAAAGCAATATACAGATTCAATGCTATTCCAATCAAAATCTCAATGGCATTCTTCAAAGAAATAGAACAATTATTGATGAAATTCATATGGAATCACCAAAAACCCCGAATAGCCAAAGCTCTACTGAAAAAAAAAGAAGGAAATGGAGGCATCACACTCCCAGACTTCAAACTATACTACAAAGCCATAATCATCAAAACTGCATGGTATTGGAACAAGAACAGACATACAGACCAATGGAATCGAATAGAAAATCCAGAAATAAACCCACAGATTTATGGTCAACTAATCTTTGACAAAGGAGCGAAGACTATGCATTGGAGCAAAGAAAGTTTGTTCAATAAATGGTGCTGGGAAAACTGGGTCGCTACATGCAAAAGAATGAAGCTTGACCACTACCTCACACCATACACAAAAATCAACTCAAAATGGATTAAAGAACTAGACATAAGACCTGAAACCATAAAATACATAGAAGGAAATATAGGCGAAACACTACGGGATTTGCACATCAAAGACATCTTTACAGACACATCACCCAAAGCAGTGATAGTGAAGACAAAGATAAACAGCTGGGACTACATCAAATTAAAGAGCTTCTGCACAGCAAAAGAGACAATACAAAAACAAAGAGAAACCCCACCAACTGGGAGAACATTTTTGCACCAACACTAATGATAAAGGACTGATCACAAAAATCTGCAAAGAGCTGATGAGACTCAGCAACAACAAAGAAAATAATCCAGTCAAAAAATGGGCAGAAGAGCTAAAAAGAAACTTCTCTGAAGAGGAAATGCAAATGGCCAACAGACATATGAAAAAATGTTCAACATCACTTGTAATCAGGGAAATGCAAATCAAAACTACCATGAGATACCATCTCACACCAGTGAGTATTAAAAAAACTAGCAACAACAAATGTTGGTGAGGATGTGGAGAAAAAGGAACTCTTGTGCACTGTTGGTGGGAGTGCAAACTGGTCCAACCACTATGGAGAGCTGTGTGGAGATTTCTGGACCTACTAAACATAGAGCTTCCATAGGATCCAGCAATTCCACTCCTAGGTATTTACCCAAAGGACACAGAAACATCAATTCCAAAGAGCACCTGCACTCCTATGTTTATAGCAGCACTGTTTACAATAGCTAAGCTTTGGAAACAACCCAAATGCCCAAAAATAGATGACTGGATCAAGAAGATGTGGTACATATATACCATGGAATATTACTCAGCATTCAAAAAAGATAAACACATGCAATTTGCAGCAACATGGATGGCACTGGAAGGGATCATGCTCAGCGAAATAAGCCAAAAAGAAAAAGAAAAATACCGGATGGTCTCACTCATAGCAGGAATCTAGAAAACTTAAATAAGGGACCAGGAAAATGAATATAAGAAAGTGAAAATCAAAATCAACAAAAAACTATGAACCAGAGACACTTTTTGGGGGGTGTGGGGGGGCGGGAGGGGAAGGATTGGGGTCAGAATGGGGCGTTTGCAATTGTATGGGGGAATATAAAAATAAAATTTAATATTTAAAAAAAAATGAAATTTAAGATTTATAAGTATTTTTCTCTTAATATTAAAATTTAAAATATTTTCCAAACTATGTTTGTTATGATTTTGATTTCCTAATGATTTAAGAATAGGTTGGAAAATAACTTTTAAAAGAAATTTGTTTTGAGTGTTTTGTTGTCAATGTAATTCCGCGATGAGCTATGGCATGTCGATAATTTTAAAGTGTATTGACCTGTATACTGTTTAACATGTAATCAATTTTAAATACCTTCCATTGACATTTGGATATAATGTGTGTGATTGGTAAAATATGTAGTTTGAACTACAACTATTTTTTTTAAGATTTATTTATTTATACAAGAACTGGGATACAGACCAGAGACATGGGAGGGTGAGAGAATTCACCAGAGACAGAGCAGGGAGCAGAACAGGCAGATTTACTGAAATACACTGTGCAGGGGAGCAGCGGGTGAGACAGGATAGGTCTGCCGCTGCATGTGGTTATCTCCCTGACCCACAGGGAATCAAACCTGCACTGCAGAGGCTGCGGACAGCTTCACAGCACTGCGTTCAACCTGCTGCACCACCCGGGAGGCCCTGAACTACAACTATTAAGTGAAGATATTTGACCTTCAAAAATTGATTGGGCTGATACACTATTTCCTATGCCCTGGTGCGCTCTTGCAGTGCTGATGATAGGCCACTGCATGTAGGCAAGGGCTTGTGGAGGATCCAGAGGAGGGATCCTCCATATTCCAGAAGCCATGGCAGTGGCTTCCTCTTTCTTTATTCTCTTGCATTTGATTGCAACAAACTGCTGCTTAAGAGGACTCAGGTAGAGCATGGAATTCATCATCTACTTTTAACTAACCCTCACTAAATGGGAGTCTTTAAAGATTTTTGAAAAAAAATAACCTGGCATTAAAAAAATATTAATAATGTAAGCTCAGGTTGACAGGAAACACATGGTAGAACTGACAGTTTCATTACGAGCTCTTTACTGGCCACATGACAAAATGAAAAATGATCTTATCAGATCTGGCAAGTGGGCTAAAAAATTTCAAAATATCTAGAAGAGTATTTGAAACATGACATACATCCACTCTAGCTAATGATAATCCTCACTCTAAGTATATTTTGTGCCTTGTGATATTGATAGGTCATGTATCTAATTTATAAATAAGTTAATAAGTGTATACATAGGAGTTAATTTAATAAAGATTTTTGTTGGGCCTCCCCTGGTGGTGCAGCAGTTGAGCGCTGGGCTACGAAGCTGCCCGCAGCCTCTACAGTGTCAGTTCGATCCCCGGCCACCAGCGAGGGTCCCACATGGTGCGACAGACCTCTCCTGCCCCGCCTGCTGCTCCCCTCAGCAGTGAATTTTGTCAGTCTGCCCGTTCTGTTCCCCGCTCTGGCTCTGGTGAATTCTCTCACCCTCCCACGCTTCTGACTATACCCAATGCTTGTATAAATAAATAAATAAATCTTTAAAAAAAAAAAAAAGATTTTTGTTATAAAGATGGGAGATCAAAAAACTTTGGAGACCACTGATCTAGCCAAAACTCCCAATCACTTTGACTCAATAGCCTAACTAGAAAGAATAAGTCTAAAGCATTTTTAAAAAAGCAGCATTTCCCAAACAGAGATGAAGTCCCCAAATTTCTGGGTTTAGAGTTCTGCAAACCCTACTCTAAGAGCATATATTCTTTAAAAAAATTTAACACTTTTGCTATATTTTTCCACCAATAAGGGCTGCTGTCTAGATAATGTATTATTTGGGAAAACAAGTAACTCAACAATTACACTAACAAGTGCAATTTTATGGTCCAGATATGTTTTATGGTTCAGATAAGAGCAGATATTATTTTCAATTTCTGTACCTGCTTCTCTTTGCATTTCTTCAGAGTTTTCATTAGATTGATATGCTTCTCCTCTCTTCTTTCCATTATGATTTTCATTTGCTTAATACCAATCAAAGCCTTCTTCAGTTCTTCATCTACATCTATCTTCCCAGCTTCTGGAAATCCTAAAAGATAGTTGTAATGTTTTTTTGCAAACTGGTCAGATTACAGTGTATGAAAATGTAATGAGTTCACCAATTTTTCATGTCCCTTAAATAGAGGCTTACTTGTTCTTTCACAGCACTAAACGCTGAAAGCAGATCATAATGAATTAGCTGTAGGCCCCCAAATAGACCCCCCACACATACACACACACTGACAGTCCCTTCTGTTCCTCACTTCTGAGCTCCTAGACAAATCAGGTTCATTTAATCTCATTCTTGTCACTTTCCTCAGGGCCTGTTTTCATTTATTATATTATTTTCCTTGCTTTTAAGTCACAAGTGTGTTTATATTAGAGAAAAGTTCAAATTTTCTTCACAATTTATGTTAAATGCCCAACTGGGAACCTCCAACAACTTCCCTTTCTTTTAGCTTCAAGTATCTTCCCAGGGGTCACTGGGCCTAGAATGTCTCTCATATAATCCAAAATTTGTTAATAATTTACTAGTCATCTCTTCTATACTTTTCATAAACATTTAATGTCTCTACATTTTCATTTTTGTCATTCTTTCTTCACAAAAACCAATATGACTCTCCAAGGAGCTAATTCTTGCCTTCATATTTAATTATAGATCCCAAATCAGCTACATTTTAGCTAATGTATTTTTCTAAACATTAAATACCCAAAGTATATATCATAGAGCAAAGGTCACCAGTTAATGAGCACAAACCAATCAGACTCAATGTCATAACCCATTCTTTCACTATCCAAAGAATAACTACACAGATTACTTTAATTGTTTAAAATTTTCAAATGCTAGAAAAGAATTTCACTGTTCATTAAAACTGTGCTTAGATGATACCAAACATCTGGACGATACTAAGAAATGCAGCCCAAAAGTTGGCAAGTTCTATCTACACGATAACAAACATCTGGATATATGAACAGTCTCAGATACTCGATTGGAATTTTCTGTTTTTATCCAGATGTTTGGCGTCATGTCTATTTGGTTTAAGAGACTAGAGGGGCTTACCGTGAAACTAGAGGGTTGTAATAAATACAGTTATCTCTCAACTGTAAATCACTATGAAATGCCAGCAAGACATGCAAACAGGACATGGCACAGATAAAGAAACCAAACATACCCTTCAGGTTTCCATGGATAGCAGTTTTATCCTTCCGAGTAGGTGCACAGTGACAACCTTTCAACCATAGCAGATACACAATAAACACCAAGAGTGGCAGCTTCATGTTCCTGCTGTTACTGCAAAAGCAAAAATAAACCTGCATCAAATGCTTTCCATTAGGTTAGTTCTGTAGGCACCAATTGAAAACATATGGTAATCCAAAGCATTTTTCTGCCCATTTTTCTTTATGGCTTTAGACAATTTAAGCTAATTTGCTTGAGACATATGAAAACTTGGAATATAAGGTAAAAAGACAAAGCAAGTCCCTGTTTTGCTTACATTCTTTATGACAGTCAATAAGGTCATCATCTGAAGATCCTGAAATTTATTTTTTCATGTAATTTAGTTATTTCTTTATTTTTTAACCTTGGACAATGAGTTTAAGATTGGGCTCAGAAAGGATGTTGGGAACCTTGGAGATTCCAAATAACTACTTGGAGATGGGTAGTGCCTACCACTTGAAATTGAAGGCCACAGTAGTATGTATCACAGCCCCACAGATTTCAAACTTCATTTTATTTCTTTGTCAAGAGCAAACCTGCCTAAACACTGAATTAGTTAAAAGTACTAGAGGATCTTTGTTTTCCGAAAATCTTTTTCTTCAACTGAGTTTTTACCTACATGGTTTACTACTTTTTTTAACGAAAGCAAAAACAGACTCATAAACTCATCAAGATATATGAAGTCACAGTTAATTTTCTCCTTCTTGGATAATGAATTTCCTTTTAAATTTAATGTGATATGCCTCAATTTTAAGCATTCCAAATGGAAATGTTTAAAACTTTACTAAGGAAAGTTAAATAAATTAAATAACTATGTACTTTGATAAAATTAAATCTCTAAAACAAGTTAGATTATCTTAACTCCCCACAAAGGGGATATTTATCTGCTTTATGTTATTTACTATATTCCAGAAAAAAACTCCTTTACTTAAAGAACATTTGGAATGTCTCTTTACTATAATAATAAAATAACATCAGTACTAGTAGTTACAAAATTATCACTTTTAAAAATTACCACATTTTACACCCATCTATCATTTGTCCTCTATATTAAGACACTTTACCAAATGAAAAATTTTAACATAATTATTTACCATTAACTTTGCAGTATCTTTTCATGAAGTTGCCACCAGCTTCTGGAAGGACCTTCACTTTCTTCTGATTTAATTTTTATCCATGTCAGGGTTTTAGCCTTGTTCTGTTAATTTGATGACACAGTTCTTAATCCTATTAATATTTTTAATTCCTATTAATATTTTGAGATTAAGGGCATGGTTTAAAATTGGGTAAGGTTTTAGAAGGAGACCACTAGAGGGCGGGCTGTGCACATGATCAGGAACAATGACCTTTAGCTACTTTATTTTTACACAAGAATGTTTTGATGGGATTCATAAGAGCCTTGAAAATGTTCTTTATATCTGAAATTTATGATGTGTATATTCATATATAGACAAATGTCTTTTTCCCCCCAAAGATTTATTTATGCATACAAGAGCTGGGGTGCAGGTCAGAGGTGTTGGGGTTGAGAGGATTCACCAGAGACAGAGAGGAGAACAGAACAGACAGATTGACCAAAGTACACTGCTGAGGGGAGCAGCAGGAGAGTCAGGAGAGGTCTGCTGCGCCATGTGGGTAGCTCCCTGGCTGGCTGGGAATCAAACGGCACTGCAGAAGCTGCACTCAGCTTCATAGGTTGCGTCTTAACCCCTTTCTCCACCAGGGAGGCCCTAAATATCTTTGATTGGAATCATGCAACAATGCGAAACAAAGTAACCTCTTACGTGAAATATTTTGAGTTAATTGCATATTTGCTTGGCATTTTTTGACTATGGAAACATTTTAACTAGATAAAGTGGTAACATCTAGATATAAATAATGCACAGATAACTATTTCAGGCCCTCTACAGTATGATATTTCACTAGCTGAACTGAAAATGTGGCCCTTCGATAATTCATTTAGAAAAATGTTAGTCACCATAGCAGGGTACAGCGACTTTGCTTCTCTTGCTATTGAAACACAAGACAGTCTGAGGCCTTCTTTGAAAGTTTTAAGGGTTTGATCCAATCGGTAAATATTATGTGCCCACTTTTCTAAGTGGGTCACACTGAGAGTTCTGGCAGCCTAGTCCTCAGAGCCATTAGAAGTTGGTCCTTGTGTATGAACAACCTGCAGTCTGGAGTTTCTCTCTGCTCCACTAGAGCAATGAGATGGACAATTAATAGGACACACCAAAAGTCCAGCCCACACCCCATTTGAACTGCCTTGATTGCCCACTAATTTTCTGTTTTAGTTGGAAACTCCTAGCTCTGTTGGAAAATAGATCAGCTCAAAAAAAAAAAAAAAAAAACTTGCACTATTATTATTAAAGTAGGCTCATGTCACTTTTGAGCAACTACAGTCCACACCAGATGTGTCCTATCCTGAGAGGTGACCAGTTGGCCCATTGAGGAAGCAGCACTTTGGGTCATTTTTCTCAGGAAGAGAAGAAGAGAGTTCTAGAAAAGTTAGTCACACAAACTGTCCAGCTCAATCTGACCCTAAGCACCCTTTTCATAAGTTTGCTGTTGTCCACATTTGGGCCTGCTTGAGGTCATGGCTGGTATCTGCACGCTCTTTCTCAACAAACTCAAATTTTGTTGAAAATGGAACCAGTTGTTTAGGATATGCAGTTGCAGGCTTTTCTTACTTCAAGTTCCTCCTTGAAGTGTAATCCTGAGAATAGAATGTTGCTAACTAATATTTAAAATATCTTCAAGCTTCCAAGAATTTCCTCCCCTAATTATTTCATCTGTTTTCACAGCTGCCATTTTGTTAAGATTAAGCAGCACTTCATGTGAATCCAGTTACTTTCATAATTATGACATCAGTATGTTCAAGACTTAAGTGGATTATAAAATATTACAGATAACTAGTTGGTAACTAGGGAAACCTAGAAACAAGTGCATCTTAATTAAGAAAGACAGCAAGAAGATTTATGTGACATTAACTGAGAAATAGTGGAGTCAGACAGATGGACTTCAAAAAGTCAGGTTTATTAGTGCTAAATTTAGACTTAGACAGTGTGCCTTAGACGTGTGGCCATAATGGACTCACCATATCATCTCTGCTTAGATTTGCTCATCCTGTCACTGGCATAGTCAGACAACCTCTGGAGTCCTTGGTGGTCACTTGTGCAGAAAACAGACAGAGAAGCTTGTGCCACTGCACTGGCCTCAGCTCTAGGACACAGTGCAAATGGTTCTCTGGCCTTGTGCAGCCTGGTGGCCCTGTATGTGTTCTGTGGACAGACTAGCTGGAATTTGCTGTCTGGCACCAGTAAGTTCAGGAAGGGAAAGAGAGTGCATCCCTAATGAATTCTCTATAAATTATGAGATGCATCAGCTAATGGATTCTCCCATGAGTCAAATAACTTACTCCTGCTTGAGAGGATGAGAGACTGGAGTTCTCACCCAGGTACTGGGTGTTCTTTATTTTTTTTTCCAAAGATTTATTTATTTATGCATACAAGAACTAGGGTACAGGCCAGAGGTTTTGGGGGTGAGAGGGGACACAGTGGGGAACAGAACAGGAGGATTGACTGAAATACACGACTGAGGGGAGCAGCGGGTGAATCAGGAGAGGTCTGCTGCACCATGTGGGTAGCTCCCTTGCTGGGCATCGAACTTGTGCTGCTGCTGTGGCTTGAATAGCTACATAGGTTGCATCCTAACCTCTTGCACCACCAGGGAGGCCTGGTACTGGGTGTTCTTCCACAGTGGCAGGAGGCAGTCCTTCCTTCCCCTCTGCAAAAAAATTAAAAGGAAAAAATCCAGGAAGGAATGTTTAAGAGAAATAAAACAAAAGCTTAAATATCCAAATTATTTATGTATTTGTTGATAGTAATTAATTTCACTAGCATTTCTTCTCTCTGTCCCTTCTTTATCTTCAATCATTCAACTATTAATTCAATAAATTTAAAGGATATAATTCACATTTTAAAAATTTAAACATGGAGTATGCTCTTCTAAAAGTGTCCCCTTTGTGGGGAAATGTTTGCCAGCCATAGATAGAAACTATAATGTTCTCTGATTTAAGAGATCAAGTGCTATTGAGCCTCCCTGATGGTGCAGACATTAAACTTTCAGCTCTATCAAGCTCTCACCAACCCCTGCAACATGAGTTCGAGTTGGCTCCCTGGCCAGGGAGCTAACCCACGTGGTGCAGCAGACCTCTCCTGCCTCTCCGGCTGCTCCCCTTAGCAGTGCATTTCAGTGGATCTGCCTGTTCTGTTCTCCACTCTGTCTCTGATGAATCCTCTCTCTTCCCACACCTCTGCCTACACTCCAGTTCTTGTATGCATAAATAAATCTTTTTGAAACAGAGAGAGATCAAATGCCATCAAAAACCCTACCATGCTGTATACCCTGGACCTCTGAATCCTCATCTAAAAATGAGAAATTATTGAAAGAAATAATCCCAATGGTAATTCCCAGCTCTAAACTTCTGCAATTATTTGCTTCTTTTTATCAGTTAAAGAACATTACAGCCACTCTCTTATCTCTCTTACAGAATTGTTGAACTGGTCACATTAATTAATACAAATGAAAATGTTTTACGAGCCATAGAGAGCAATGTAATTGGAGATAGAAGACTCCAACTCTGTTCCTGGCCTTGAAAAAAGGATCAGCAGACAACCTCTGAAGGGAGAAGGGAGCACTTTATGTCTGGGTCACTTTTAAGAGCTCTTAGCTGCTACTGGTTGTCTGGCACTATCTACTGATTGCTGTCTGGCTCAGGTCCGGTCTGTTCCATCCATACATACAGACTCTGGCTGTGCTGCTGCAGCAGCATCTCAGCGGCCCCGCCTGTGAGCACCTCCAGCTGCAGGAGTTAGATCCTACCCGCTGCTTGCGACTGCCTGAGCTCTGGACACTCTTCATGGGATGCGCCATCTTGGATGAGTAGCCTTTTGTTGGCGAGTTCTGGACACTGTGGATACAATCTGGGGTGAGATAGCTGGCCACTTGTGGCCTTAGAGACTCTTTGTTTCCCTTGCTTGTCAAATAAACCCCATTGTGGTTCCCTGAGCCCACGTGGTCTTGCAATTTTGTGTGTGGGTGAAGAGCCCACAGTGACCTTCCTCTTCTGGCCACTGTCCCTTGACCCAACCTAGCACCCTGCTGTAGCACTGTTTCAAGCCCAGTGTAGTAGAGTGTGGAGAGAGGAAGGAGAAATTCGATATTAGATGAAGGGGCAGAGAGTACAGCTATGCAGTACATATAGCAGAGTAAGAAATGACCACTTTTTCAAAAGCAAAATGGGATAATTGTGAAGGAATCCACAAAAAGCAAAAATATGATCTGATTTACTGTTTTTTTTTAAAGTTTATTTGATTTATTGTTTTTAAAGACCGCTGTGGCTCTTGTGTAAACTATGGATCACAGAAGCATAAGATGGAACCAGAACCAGTTAGGAAGCTATTTGAATCTCCAGGATGAGACATGGTAGCTCCTTGGGCAGAGAGAAATGGTCAGATTTGGGGTTTATTTTGAAGGCAGGATTGTGAGGTGAAAGGACAAGAAGAATCAAGAATGACTGCGGGTTTTGCTTAGGAAGGTGATGCTTTGGTGCACTGAGAAAGGCTGGGCTGTCACCCTTTCTAATCTCCCCTAGACTCCAACCCAGGGCAGCTGGACTCGCTCACTGTGAAAGATGTTTGTTGCTAACGGCATCAAGGAGCTACTGATTACCAAATCCACACCTTTCTTTTTGTCCCCTCTCCCTCTTACCCTCCATGTGGCATTTGGCACAGTTGACTAGCAACGGTTTTATTTTTGAGTAACTAATCCTTTGGTTTAAATAAAGCCATTCTCTATGGGCTCTCCCCCTGCCTTTCAGACTACTAGCAGCACAGAGTCACCTTGCTCTTCATCTTAATTCTACCCTGTTCTCACTGGGGTTCTTATCCTCTAAATTTTCTTTATCTTATCTATTCCCAAGTCTTCCCTACAAAGAGAAACTTTCAGGACAATAATGAACCACAATTATTCAATGAGAGGTCATATAGAGCGGTAAAAAGTGGGCTTATCTTGTCAGCGCTCCCCTCTGAAGAGTGTGACAACATGGGCAGGTGGAATAGATGGCTTGGGGTGGGCGACTCAGGGCCCTAGAGAAATGGTGAGAAAGTAAGAGTATAATCACCATA